TTTGGCTCATGCTCACCTGGCTCCTTTTGTTTCAGGGCTGTGGTGAGGCAGAGCATGGTGGCAGGAGCACATGGGAGAGGAGAATCACTCACCTCAAGCCAGACAGGAAACGGAGAGAGAGAAGAGAGAGCCAAGGAAAAGACATGTTCTGCAAAGTCACTTCTGCAGTAACCTACTTCCTTCAACTATGCCCCGCCTTCCACGGTTCTAATACCCCCAATAGTCTAACCAAAGTTCTAATCTACCAGTGCATCAATCCATTGACAAAGGCAGAGGCCTCTTTATCCACTCACTTTCCCCAAATCCCCACCCCTGCCTGCTGCTTGCATTGGGGACCAAACCATCAATACACAACCTTTGGTGGGGGAAGGGGCATTTAATAACCAAGCCACAACAATACACATAGGCTGAGAGGCAAGAAAGAACTCTCACAAATAATGTAGCATCAGAACCAGGCGATGTTTAGGTATTTTTAGAGCTCTATTTTATATTTTCCTTCCCAACCCTGTTGAGAAATATTACAAATCCCACTTTCTTGGGTGAGTTACAAAGTCTCAGAGAAATGGAGTGCATTTCCCAAATGTCTCAGCTATGACTTGGTGGATCAGGGTCTCAAAATCACTGCTTTTGGCACAACCGAGTGAAACAAGTTGGCTGTCTCCCTAGCTTTCTTCTGGTCTTCCTTGGTGGATTTGGTAGAGGAATTTGGGGCAAGTGATCTGTAGATGGGCAATCCTGCTCTTTCTGCCTAATGTTGTTAAAGAACAGAAGCCAGAAGAAAGAAGAAGGGCTGGGTCGGAAGCCCTGGAAACCTGGAAGGGAAAACAGTCTGTGCCAAGATGTGTGTCTCAATGTGTTCAGATCTTTTATGATATGAGCCTGGAGTCATCCTTCCTAGGACGTTTTATACTTGATTGTGAGATGGATATTTTGTTCTGTAACACTGTGACATGGAGTTTGGAAACTGAGCCTTGAAATCAGAAGTGAGCTGCACCATTGCAGCTTAGGAGTTTTCTACAGCATCACTTTCAAACTTCCAGTGCTTGACTGGGAATAATAAAGGGGAGATTGCCCGTGTCAATGAAAGGCAATTCTGTGGGGAGGGGTGTGTGTGTGTGTGTGTGTGTGTGTGTGTGTGTGTGTGTGTGTGTGCGCGCGCGCGCGCGCGCGCCCGCGCATTTGTTTGTGTCAGGCAATCAAAGGAAGGGCAGGTGATACACAGGGAAGAGGACACAGACAAGTCAGAAAAGAGCCTGGGCAAGGATCTGTCTCCTGCGTTTCTAGATAGGAATGCTCTTACAGAAGCATGTGACTGAAGCCATCTGCATCAGCCCCATCAGTGCTGGTGATCAGTGAGGTCCATGAAGTCACACTGGCATTGTCCTTAGCCTGTGTCCTCCAGCCATCAGAAATCCTCATATTCTTAGGGGTCAAAGAGCCCTGGCCTCACTTTCTAGACCTCATCAAGCAAAATCCCTGAAAATGTATTTGTAAATAACACAACCACCAGCTAATGTGCTCGCTCTGAGGCTCTAACCCTGCAAGGCCAAAATGAGTATTTTTATTGCAAAAGAGAACACGACTCTCAAAGGAGGTGATGTGGCCTTGAGCCATCTCTCCTGGCTCCCTGACAGTGTATACCTACCTCGCCTGGCTCTGGTCTCTCAGTGGCATCAACGGTGGCAGGGGGAGAACTGACCAGTAGAAGCTACTGTGTCCCCAAGGACAGTAGGCCCCAGCAAGTTACTGTCCCTAGAAATCAGTTGTTCATCCCAGACAGGGCCCACCTATGTGACATGGCACATAGGAATGGTTTAGGGCCACACAGAAAACTCTTTTAGCTTGTTTGTTTTATTTTTTTGAAAGTTGTTTTAGGGGAAGCAAGGGGCACGTGGGTCCTCAACGACAAGCAGTGGTAAAATCCAGAAAAGTATAAACTCTTAGCACCCAACGGACATTTGTAACCAAAGCCAAGTTACCTCCAGGAAGCTCAAAAGGTAATTCACTGGGCCTCCTGATGACATAAAGCAGACAAAGGGATGACGACAAATTGCCAGTGAGCTTAGAGAACACACCAAATGCTGTTTACCCCGGAGTCACCCAGGGGTGCATTCAGAGCCTGCTTCTGAGAGCGCTTGGGGGTCCCCTCCGCACCTTGCCTCCACTTCCCTTTCTGGTTCACTTCATTCCACGGGCCTCCACCTTGCTGGCACTCGATGTTGTAAAGGCTGCGAAGAATTCATTCTTGGTTCCTTCTTAGGGAGGTGGCAGGCACTTCTTAGAGTCACCTAGCTGCTTTAGCTTCTTCAGTGAGGCTTTCCCATAGCATAGGAGTCACTGACAGCAGGTGTGTGTGGGGGGGTGGATCTTGTTAAAATGCAGGCTTGCATTAGCAGATCTAAGGCAGAGCCCTGGATTCTACATCTCCAACACTCTTTTCATGTTGCCCACATGTCCCATGTATAGCCAGTGCTTTGAGCAAAACTGATTTAAAAAAAAAAAAAAAGACAAGGCATGCTTTCTCTGACTGGTGTTGCCATCCCAGTATAACCAGATCATCAGGGGCACCAGGCATGGTGACACACATTTTTAATCCCAGCCCTTGGGGAGATCCCAGCAGGCAGATCTCTGTGAGTTCAAGGCCAGCCAGGCTTTAGTGAGATCCTATCTAAAATGAGTAAGTAAATAACAAATGAATAAAACAGCAAAAACAAAATAGATCACCAAAGACTGGAAGGGAACAATGCGAGTGGAGAAGGCCGGGAGTCATCTCAACACATACCAGCAAACACAAGGCACAACTGTGATATTCTACTGCCAGCAGAACAGTGGTGAGGGAGAATTTGTCCCATTTCGGAGCTTCCGCCCCATGTAGGGTATCCCCTACAACCCCATGCGTGTAGAGCAATGTTCTGCCACTTGCCTTGTGTGATACGTGAGTTACAAAGACTTCTCTTTCCAAGCTCACAGTCACTGCAGTGGGAAGTGAAAGCTTTGCCAACTGTATGTCGACACTCCTCTCTGTTCATATTAATGGCACCATTCACTCCAGGGCTAAAGGTACAACTCTCCTTGTGTGACGGTGCTCACAAAGAGAAGCTGTGCCTGCCAGAGTTGCTCACTAAAAGAAGCTGTGCCTGCCAGAGTGGTTACAGAGGCTCCTTAGTGTGTGACTTGTCCTATTCTGCATCAGGATGGCGCGGTGCTTTGGATATAGACTCTCCTCCACGGGCTCATGCTGGGACACTTGGTCCTCAGCTAGTGATGCTGTTTGGTGAGACTGGAGACTCTTAGGAGGTGGCTGGTAGCTGGAGAAGGTGGGCTGCCTGAGAAGCAAACCTTATGACTCACAGCCCATCCCTACTTCCAACCCTGGTCTCTCTGCTTCCTGGTATCTGTCAAGATGTGAGCAAGCAACAGCAAGCTCCTGTTGCCATGGACTCACCTTCCACCATGCCTTCTGGCTAAGATGAACTATATCCCTTCAAGCCATGAGTCAGAAAAATCCTCCTCCCCTCGATTGCTTATTGACAGATATTTGGCTGCAAGGAGAATTCTGCAATTCTATAATTTCAAAGCACTTTATTGTAACGAGTCTTTTTCTATCACACCAGCCAGCTCCCAAATAATGACAAGGTGACTTAGTATCAGTTATAAAAGCTTGGCCTTTAGCTTATGCTTGTCTCCACTAGCTCCTATAACTTAAGTTAACTCATAGTTTTTAATCCGTGTTCTGCCACATGGAGTTACCTCTCTTCCATAGTGCACCTCCCGTTTCCTCTCCATGTCTGGCTGGTGGCTGCTTTTCTTCTTCCCAGAATGCTTTTTTAAGGTATACTAAACTGATGTATTAAGAGGTGCAATAAAAAGAACAAACTCACAGACACAGAGTAATGCTGAAGCCATTGCTGATCCCACGCCGACTCTCTGCTCCCTTGGGTCTCACACCACACCAAGCCCAGCCAGGGCAAGAGAGAGCACGTGTGCTTTCCTCTTAGGGTGGCTACTGTCTGCTTGCCAGTGTCTTAGGCTATCAATGCTGAGTCACACATGGCTCACTTACTGGAGCCATTTGTGCAGGTTATTCCAGCATGGTTATCTCCAGCAGACAGTTACAAGGAACCTTACACTCTGGAGGAAAAGACGGTAAGTTCTTGTGATCTGATTCGCTTAAAATCACCTTAGCATAAGGTGAAGAATATCTGGCATTTCAACCATAATAGGTATTTAGACACTAACAGAAGGAGGAAAAAAATTGGCTTAACTCAGTGAAAACACTATTGATTAAAGTTATTTAAGCTCAGTTGCCATGTAGTTCAGGAGTACCTAGATATATAGTCACTGGAACATATCATTACATACATTTTATTTGATTCACACAGTAAACTAGTCCCCGGTACAAGTGGAATGCCTAAAGTAATGAGATGAATAACCCAAACCACACGAGACACATTCTATGCGCCGTGTCCTCATTCTTCTGGCAGCCTTTTCAATTATTTATACCACTCAAGATAATGGTTATTGTCCTATTGCCCTTAGGAATATGACCTGAATGCCCAGATCAACATCCCATTTCACAGTGAGACTCCATTATTGTTTTTATTCCTCTCTGTCTGCAACTGTGTCCTTGAGGCATCTGCACTGTGACTATTCCAGCCCTGATTATTGCTTCCTGCAACTCATCCTTCAGGCCTTTGCATTAGCACCACCCTAAAATTGAATTAGATGATCCCTTACCCTTTGGACTTGCCTGTTTGCAAACTTTTACACTCTGTAGGCATATCTTGCTTACCTGTCTGTCCTCCCTACTAGACAATGAGCACCCTGGGAGTCAGGAATTGAACCTGTTTGTTTGTTGAAATCCCAGAGGTTAAATTCCAGGCCTTTTCCAAGTGCGTAGTAGGCAAGCATGAAACTACTGAACTATATCCTTAGGAAAATTGTATTCATCATTGTACTGCTTTTCTCACCACCATGACAGAACACCAGCCAGGAACAACTTAAAGGAAGCAAGCTTTATTTGGGCTCACAGTTGGAGATGGTCCAGCTCACCATGGCGGGGAAGGCATGATGGTGAGGGCTTGAAGCATGAGTTGGTCCCATTTTGGTGGAGTAGTAAGCAAAGGGAGCTTGGGCTGAAACGGAGGCTGGGGTGTGAGCCACAACCCCCCCCCACAGTGACCCCAATTCCTACATCTGTAGGCCCCACCTCAGAAAGGTTCTGTAACCTCTGAAGACAATTCCATTGGGTAGTTAAGTGTTCAAACACAGGAGCCTATGGGAGACATTCAAATAAAAACAATTGAATCCCCCAACCATGTTTAACATAGCACACAACACTTGATAAAGCCCACGAATGGTTGTTGAAGGAATAAGTAGACAAGTAAGCCCTGCTCTCTTACTCAGCCCAGACCACACTGCTTCTTGCTGTCAGGGAGACAGGCAGTCTTACCGGGATACATTAGCTTCATGACTATCGCCATTGGTGTCTAAGAGTGTGCTGAATATCCAGCCAATGTCTTCCTTCACAGGTTAGCATCTGTTCTGCCTGTGTCCACCGCCTTCATTTCGTTCGCATTCTGAAATCCCTCATGAGTATTTCTCTTAGAGATTCACAGTGTAAAGGCAAACTTAAAATATCTCTGCTTCATTGTAAAATGCCAAGAATGCTGGAATAGGTTGAAGACTCATTAGAAATTCATTTTTCAGTTAAAGAGCAGAGTCAGTTACTCTCATGAGTGTTAGGAGCTGTTACAAGCTGTGTGCATGCGCAATAGGTAACTTTGTAACTTTCCAGCCCTTAGTCTCCGCCCCTCCCGTGACGTCATATGGTTCGATCAGCTGACGTCATATGGTTCGATCAGCTGGCGTCATATGGTCCGACGGGCTTCAGCCAGTCAAAAAGTAACAGTCTGAGGTGATGGTTGCCAGCCTATATAAGGAGGGGTTTTTGGGTGTTCAGAGTTTCCGCTCTGTAAGCTGATGCTCTTCCTCTCAAGAGACATTAAAGCTTTACTGCAGAAGGATCCTGAGGAGTGTCCCCGTGTCGTTTTTGCTGGCGAGGCGGTTAGCGCAGGACACATGAGTCCACAGTTCCTTGCTGAGGCATCATTACATTATTCTTTAGGCAATTCCCATTCCACCCTAGTTATTTGCTTTACAACTGCTCTTGATAGGGCCTCCCCAGTCCACTCCTCCTCCAAGCACCGACCTTAAGAGCTCAACTTCAGACTTCAAAGAGGACGGGCTTCCTTTGTTTCTGAGGAACAGGTAGGCATGCCACCCCTACAATGTGTGTTGAACTTCTGCCCTTCTTGAACTTCGAACCAAGGAAACAAATGATGGTTGTGGATCTTCTGTAAACCCAGAACAGCATCAGGCACAGCTGTCATGACTGAGGTTATTCTAAAATCCCATAACCTTACAAGTTACAAGGCAGCTTCTATGGCTACCTGTAACGACTCCCACAGGGAGAACTAGTAAGTGTTTCCGTAAACCCATGTTCTCACCATTAGTTTTTAGACCCTAAACATGTGCCAATACCCCATCTCTGTTCACCTTGGTGTCTCCTGGGTCCCAGAGGAACCACTGGGAGTACACATCACAGCCTTTATAATAGTCCTTGAAATGGGATTAAAAAGAACCTACCACATAAATGCACTATTAAAGATCATTTGAGAACTATAACCCAACCCCATACAGCCACAAAAATGCAGAGGAGTCTCAGAAGCCAGGAGCCCCAGAGACAGCAAAGGAACCATTACATTCAGTTTGTTCTTCCACAGCCCATTTTGAAAATCAAATATATACTGCATACTTAGGCTTTAGCTTAAAACTCATACATCAAATAAATCATAAAGCATGCCTGGATTTTATGATTCTCATTTCTCTTGCTCTGGTTAGGTATCATAGATATGGCCAAATGGGGATTAACTTCACCAAATATTTCCCAGCCTCTCTGCACAGTGAGGTGATCTAAGGATACCACTTTAATTTGAGTGTCAGAGTCTTTTGTGGACTTTCTAAGTCTTTTAAAGTTATATAAATACCAGCATCCATTTGCATGGGTACAAACTCAGATCAGCTGTAGAAGGGAAAAGAACATTAGGCTTCCACTTGGCAGGCCTCTGCAAGCATTCATTGAATTTATGCATGTTGTAGCCTCCTAGTTTATATGCTGAAGGGGGTAGTGGGCGAAGAGGCATAGTGAAAAACTGGCCATTTGTATGAAGCATTTGCAAGCCCAGGACAGCTTCTTTTGTGTTTGTTCCCCTTTTCGTGGATACATAAACTATCTTTTGCATGTTGATGGCAATGTGATTTGGGTGGCTGCTTCTTTATAACAGAGCAACTTGGAGAAAAGGGACGAGGGGGATTTGAGGTCAGCAGCGGGAACTGATGAGGGAAACAGGAAATGTGAACCTCAGGAGACAGGTGTAAGAGGGAATGACAAACTCATTCCAGAAAAAACTACCATGGTGGTATTATGATAGTGATTATGTGTCAAAACCATCTACAGGCTGACATTTGATCAAAGACAAAGCAAAGAAGTGTCTTCTGAACTCCATGCTGGTTGGAGATCTAAAGTGAGAGACTGTAAAAGTGCTGGAGAGAAACAGCTCAAGGCTTAGCAGTCAGGCATGTGTAGAGAGAGGGCCAACAGAACTGGATAAACCCTCTCAAGAAAAATAGTATCAAGGACTGAGACCAAGAACAGGTCCTTAATCTGCCCGGGCACCATTCGACCAACATGATCCAGACTTAAGTTTGGAAGGCACAACTGAGCTGAGTGCTTTTGCTGTGGTTCCTACCAAGGTGAGCATAATGACTGTGTGGCAAGACAGTAAATAGGTACTGGCCTACCTTGGTTGCTGGAATACTATGAGGAATAGTAGAGCCATCCACCCATTGCAAGCTCATAATAGGGTAGGGGAGTGTCTTAGTTAGGGTTTCTTTTGGGGGTGGCTTACAGTGCAGAGGTTTAGTCCATTACTGTCATTGTGGGAAGCATGGGACATGCAGGCAGACATGGTGCTAGGAAAGGAAATGAGAGTTTTACATCTGGGCCTGCTGGCAGCAAGAAGTGAAAGTCACACTAGACCTGGCTTGAGCATATGAAACCTCAGAGCCCACCCCTCAGTGATGCACTTCCTGCAACAAAACCACACCTACTCCAACAAGGCCACACCTCCTAATAGTGCCACTCCCTGTGAGCCTATGGGGGCCATTTTTGTTCAAACCACCACAGGAAGACTTATGTACTTAAAGATCCACAATGCAAAGTAAGTACTATAATACATTTATATATACATACACACACACACACACACACACACACACACACACACACACAATTATACCACCATGTCTGGATACCACATACCTTTCTTATTCTTAGCCCCTTCATTTCTAGCAAGAAGAAAAGACTATATGTTAGACCTCCCCAAGTTAAGAGAAACTCATTCAATTTGTACTATTTTTTGGCCATCCTTGTATCTTGTGCTCTGCTCTTGAAATGGGAATACAATGCCTCTCATCTTAGCAAAGAAGTTTAAACCATCTGTTGATTAGTAATTGATAGGAAAGATTGTGTGTGTGTGTGTGTGTGTGTGTGTGTGTGAGAGAGAGAGAGAGAGAGAGAGACAGACAGACAGACAGAGAGAGACAGAGACAGAGACAGAGAGAGTAAGAGCACCAAATGGGCTTTAGCCATATCTCCAAAATCCTGATGTTGCTTGTTAGCCAACATCCAGTGCATTGTCTTTCTTGTTGGCATAACTCCAAATTTGGTTTAGAATCCACTCCTTCCTCAAATGACACAGTAAGACTGGCATTACTCCAAACTGGCTCCAGGGTAAACTCTAGGCCATTGAAGCCAACATGATGGTCCTTCCTATTCCTTCTTGCCTGGAATTAGTGTTGGACTGACCTTGCCATCTTTGATGACCAAAGAGTTGTGATGGGATCTCTAGAAAGACTCTGGGAAAGGTGTCATTGCTCCTAAAAGAGACCTCTATGACAATATGGTCTCTTCTGCCTCTTGATGTAGCTGTGTTTGTGGGTGAAGAGGCATCAGATAACCTCAGCCAAGGGAGGAGGTTGCAACTGGAGACAAGGGTGATACGTGGTAAGATAGAATCTGGATCCCAAACCTGTTGAACCAGTAGATTTAGCCATCATCGGTGCTTTCTTCTGTGAAATATTGAATTTCCTTCTATTTTCAGTTATTTTCAGTTAACTTTGTTCCTTACAGCTGAAATTTGACTTAGACAAGTGTTGCTGTTTGGTATATCTCTGCAGACTATTCTACTTCTGTAACATGGGTACGTAGTAGGATTAAGCAGGAGGCAGGGGTGTTTCCTTTCTCCCCTTGAGGTGATTCCCCTGACACCCCACAAAAGGTGGGCAGGTATGTTCTTACAGCAATTGGTCCATGCCAAAGATTGTTGGGTGAGTTTTCGCAAGAGAGTCCTTGAAGTAAGAAGAACTTGCTTGGACATTATTGTTTTCTTGCTGCATGCCCTGTTAAATCTATTGGCTCATCTTCCACCTGCAACTTTTAGACCTAAAAGTTTAGTAAATACCTAGCTCTAAGATTTACTATGTTCCAGCCTTCTCTGTGTTACAGTGTCAGAGGCCGCTCTCTGCAGCCTGTCACAATGCCATGATATGACTGTGCCTGCCAGCAGCCAGACCATTCAGAAAATGAGAAACATTGTGTATATGTGTTTTAAAACCACATGAAAAAGTGATAGCAGAAGCATGGTGGTAGCTACCTGATCAGTATCATTAGTGTCAGGAAAGTTGTAAATGGGAAGGCTGGTCTCCAAGGAATATAAAAGCCTTCATCCACAAACACATGATGGTGATGCTTTAGCCATTTGAAGAAAATGATTCATCTCTTCCCAGCCCTACATCCTGTAGAGTGACCAAGGTAGAAAGAGCAAACATTTGGTTGTAAGCCTAAATGCATGAGATCTGGAATGGTGACTAGGAAGGCAAGGAAATGAAGAAAGGATACAAGTATGGAAAAGCTAAGGTCAGGTGGGCTGTGTGCACTCTGACGGAGCCCAACAACGCAGAATCTCAGCATGTTTATTAGGTACAACACAGGGATTGGGGTTATCAAGGCTCCATAGTAGTCTCAGACCATAAACAGTGGAGATCAGGAAGCCCCAGTTGCTAGTTTTTGTCCACAATGACCAGTCATTAATAAATACTTGTACTTGGACAGAGGAAGGGTTTGCCTTTCTGAATCTGACCTAGAGGGGAAGGCTTTGACAATTTCCCATTGATCAGATTCCTTGGTCCTTGACATGGTCAGCTCACATCAAACAATACACATTCACTCAGAAGTGCATTCACTCAGGATCTCACCTGCTCCCTACAGGTATGCAGAATAACTTATGTAAATAGGATATTATTGGTGCCTGATTACTGTGTCAAACTGTGCCAGGGTGAAATTTGTTTAAATGTCAACTACTGTGACCTTTACAGTAATAGAAGTTGGGATCTCATCTCAGAGAAAACACTTGCACAGATGTCCTTTCCTTGGGGTTCTTTGGAACACCCTAAATGTTTAACATTGAGTTCTACTCATATCTTTACTGTATAGATGAACAAAACAATGCCTAGCAAGTAGCTAAGTTAGTTTCTGAGTTCAGAATCTCTTTTCTTCACACTTCCCTAAAAAGGCTATACTCTGTTATTTGGTCACCTGTCTTCCATTGCCCATACATCAGTCTCAATTATATAAATGGACAGAAGTTTTTGAAAACTATAGCCCTTGGAAAACCTGGCATAATGGCCTGTTTGTATAAGTTTTATTGGAAGACATCTACTTCGATCGTCTCCATACAGCCTGTGGCTCTGATGACAGAACTGAGCCGTTGCAATAAACACAAGAGCTACAAAGGCTAAAAGGTTTACTATGTGATTCCTTTAAAAAAATATTGCTGACTTGCCAGGCATGGTAGTACACACCTTTAATCCCAGCACTTGGAGGTGGAGGTGGAGGTGGGTGTGAGTCTGAGGCCAGCCTGGTCTACATAGTGAGTTTTAGTACAGCTAGAAAGACACTGTCTCAAAAACCAAAACAAAAAATATGCTGACTCATTCTGTTTCTTTTCAAGGCATGATGTTTCCCAGCTAGAATCTGTTCAGACTCTATCAGAGGGAATTGGAAAACATGTTTTAATTTATTTATTATTGTGTGTGTTTGGAAGCCTGTGGACACCAAAGCAGGGTGTTGGAAACCCTAGAATTGGGGGTTGGGGTTATAGGTAGTTGTGAGTCGCTGGACATGGGTTCTGGGAACTGAACTTGGGTCCTTTGGAAGAGCAAAATGTGCTCTTAT